CTGACTTTCAGAGCGACACGGCTTTAGATCAGGAGCTTGGTGGGTTTAGCTGAGCCTTTTGGTGGCAGGCCAGTTGAAATGGATATCTCTAGGGTCTTACTGGGCTGGAGAAGACTAATTGAATAGAAGCATAGGGGCACTCTGCTGACTCCAGAGGCTGAATGTCAACCTTGGGGCCGAGGCCTGCCATTTGTGTCAGATTAACACCTCCAATCATGTAAAACACATTCCACCCTGGCACCTGTGGAGAGCTAAGACCCAGATTATTGCTGCTGCCTCTGTGCTCCTTCTACAGGCCTTCTCACTGTTTCAGAGGCCTGTAGCACGCAGCTCAGTACCATGGCCTCCTCACTTTCCCGCCTCCTGCATGAAGTCTCCCACAGGGAGCACAATGAAACCCACAGAAACATGATCCTGGAGCACAGCCTGTGCTCTGTAATGGGACACTTGCCAGCCTTGTTCACAGAGGGAATGGTTACATGGGGAGGAAGATTTCAGCCCCTTTTTATACTCTTTTGTCATTTTCATTTGACTGTTTTTTTTTGGTTAGGTTTAAACTTACTTAATAACTATGTAAATTACTTATTACGTTACTGATAAAGATGGAAAAATAAAAGTTTTGCCCTAGTTGAATTTTAATAGAGTAGGTGACAGAGGTACGTGACAGACACCTGTTAGTCAATTCTTTTTTTGATACCAAGTTAGAAAATGTAAGAAAAAGCTATGTACTGATTAATGTATAGCTTGTTAGCACAATGGTATGATTGGTGCTTTGAATTTATAATTTGTTGATTTTTTTTTTTTTGCTTGGTTAGTTATATAACCCTATCATACTCTATTGGCTATAGTTAAATCCAAATGATTAATATTTATTTTAGGAGCACCCAGTTTCAGCACTCTGGACAGCTCTCTCAGGATATGACATTATAGTCACCCAGTCCCAGGGGTGAGAGAAGGTCCTTAGGGATCTTAGGGGACTAATAGTTATCACTCCCCAATTCTTTTTCTCCTTGCAGCAGGGAGCCATTTTACTGCTTTGTTCGTTTCTCTTATGCATTCCACCAATTCGCCCACAAAGTCTTAACTGTGACTCGACAAAAGTTTACAAAATGATAAGAAGGAAAGGTACCAATGGGAGAACTCATGGAACGTTTGTACAGTTCTGCAAACATTGTTAAAAGCAGACTAATGATAAGCATGGATGTATTGCTGAATAGGCCGTAATTGAATGTTTTAATATTAGTTCGTGTTTAGAATGGAAATGCTGGGCAGGGTTTTAAGAAGGTCAGGAGAGCATTTTGAAGTTACTAATTATTAATAAAAGCTGGACAGATATGAAATAAAATTGTTTCCCTATTAAATTAATGCACATTTAGTCACCAGTATTTTGCTGCTGTGTTTGGAATGGTCACTCCCTAATTCACTATTTACTGCATAGCCTTTGCTATACAGTGACTTGACTGGGGAACAACCATGGAACAGCTGAAAGAGTATTGTTACAGATTCAGACAGCACTACAGAATGACTGACACACTGTTTCTCTAATAGCAGGCGAATCCGAATGTGGTCTTATCTCACACAGACAACCCTTCATTCCATAAACAAGATGATGCTCACTTGAGAATAATAATAACAACAGACATGTTTCTGTTATTCGTCATTGTTGCACATTACTTGTCATTGCATTCCTTCTCTAGTGTTCGCCATCTCTTTGCTTCAGTTAATGGTACATTCTTAACTTTATTGTAGCCACACCACAGTTTATTTTTCAACATTCACTTTCCCTTTATCATTACACACTCTCTCTGACTTCCCTTCCCTCTCTGTGCCCATAGGCTGACTCCATGTCTGATGACTTTTCCCACAAGAATCACTGAAGACAGAAACAGGGGACAGAATGTGTGCGAGAGAGAGAGCTCTTGTCCAGTAAGAGGAAACAAGCCTAAAGAATGTGAAAAGCTCCCATTCAGGCGGGTTCACAGGGTCTGGGAGTGGCCACATCCTCAAGGGAGGAGGGGGCTCCTGGACCTGTGCCAGGAGAGCTGTGCAGACCAATCAGATGACTTAGGTCTGTGTGAGCACCCAAAGCCTCTGCCCTCCCCCCATCCCTTAAGACCTCCAAGCAGCTACAGTGTCCTTCCCCTTTATTTACCCAAACAAATAAAGCCTGTGTACTGTTTGCAGCCTGTGCCTCTCTCAGTCTCCCAAGAACACAGTTCAGTCAGCCTGTAGACAGCATGGTCAGGAATGCGGCTCTATTAATAGACGGTGCCCATTATCTCAGAGACTAATGACCAGCATGAGCAGATTCCTGAAGGGCACGGAAGTGACGCACTTTCACCCACTTCACTTCCACTTCCTGCTTGATTTACCGTTAGTTTTCTGCCAAAAACCTCGGAGATGCTTCATCTTTCATCTTCAGTGTAATTAAGATGTCTGAAGAGATGACTTGTGTTGAGGATTTGCAGTGCCAATTTTAGAGCTCAGTTTGTTCCAAGCTTTGGGCACTGTTGTATTGTATCACTGTCATGTCAATGTTACTCTTAAGGACTACATTTCTCTACTTCATAGCTTATTTGGTCTGACTAAAAGTTAGAGGTTGCTTGTTCTTAGAGATAGCACAAGTTTGATGCCCAGTATCAGTATCGTGCTGATACCAGCAGGAAATACAAGATTGGATATCGGAGGAAAATAAAAATGAATCTGATCTGATTCTGTAACAAATCTAGCTTGAAATATCACAGAATTATTGGTAGCACAATGCAACGTAAAGGGAAATAAATTAGATCATGTATTAACAACGCTAGCCATGTGAAGCCTAACATTAACATTTGAATAAATAGCTAGCTTTTTCCGAAGCCTATGTGGGAGTTGCTCTGTTGGCTGAGTGGAAATGCCTAACACATCTTAAGTAAAGTGCTTCAATTAAACATAGCTAATTTAAAAATAAATAAATAAATCAGCTGATACTTATGTTTTTTTTTAGTATTGTTACTGATACTGGAAAATAAAGAGTGGTATTGTGCTGTCTCTACCTGTTCCCTAAAGGTCTCTCTGGTTAAGCACTTGTCCAAACCATGTCATCTCAGCCTGACCCAGCAGCCATACTGTGCCTCAGGGAGTGTAAACATCCTACACTCTCAGCTGGAGCCGAGACGGAGGCCGGGAGTGGGGTGTTTGCGCTCTCTGGCTCAGAGACGCCATGGCAGTACCAAGGAAGCTTGGGCAGCACCATAGAGGAAGCCATCTCTGCGTCACTTCTGCCCTCTCTCTTCTCTTTATGCGCAGAGACCAGTGTGCTGTTACAGAGTTGAATATGGGTGGTTTGTAGGACACAGAGGAAATTGAGCTCCATTGTGAAGAGTGACGCAGGGTCTAGAGGTGAGGCTGCAGGGTCTCTTTGAAGCTCTCTGACCCGGCAGGGCGGGACGGCTCCAAAATGCCTCCAAGCACTCCCACCCAGGCTAAGCTGTTGTCACGGCGACGGAGTGGCCCAAGAGGAAATGGCTATTTATACCCTCCAGAGCACAGAGAGAGGCACCCTTCCGATGGGCGGCTCTCCGCTCGCTTCCTTCTGCGAGCTGGGTTTGGGCCTTTTCAGGAACCCACTTTCTCAAACAAGCAGCACTGTTTAAAGTGGTGGTTCGGGCAGAGATTAAATTTACAGTTTTCCCCTTACCCCAAACATATCTCATCAACCAAGACATATTCGATGTCCAAAGTTTGCCTTGTTAGTTTTTCTCTGGTGCTATGATGCTATTGTAACTAACGTGCTGGGAGCTTATAGACCAATAGTTAGCATTGATCCTAAATCAGGCCACTTGCCTTAAGCATGCTGAGCTGTTACATACTTAAATAGACTTTATATGGCTTCTGATACTGTACAACATGCTTCCATGTATAAAAACTATAAAAAAGATTATTAACACAGATTGTGGCAAGTGTGGGATAAACTGAGGCGTGCACTTGGTACAATGCTAGCAGGCAGCTATAAGCTTACATTACTTGTTAACTACATTTGCCTTGTAGCTCCCGTGCAAAATAGAGTGAACTTAAACACTAAACATGTCTTGGCTGATGGGCTATATTTAGTAGTAAGGGGAAAAATTGTTTAAATTTTAAAACCATTGCTTTCAAACATTTTGAATATTACACAGCTTAAAGGTACTTCTCCTGTCATCTTGCAGTGGTCTTTGTGCTGCGGCTTTGGATACCATGTTCTGGTTGCACACAGACCGATACCAACAACTAAGTGAACTCTGATCTCTGAGATTGTATCAAGCTCACTGTCCATCTCCACTGGCTTGTTGGTTGCTGTGAGCGCTGTTGATTTGTTTCCTCTCCTGGTCTCTCCCCCTGTGGCAGTCAGGATGCATGTCTTGCTATTTTCTGGTTCCCACCCTCTCCCACTGCAATTATCTTGGTCCACTTTTGTTCAGTGATGTCATTACTCCAGCTGCTCTGTTATGCTCCACTAGGTGGCAGACTGTATGTAATTAAAGCCTTGTAACTGTATTTATAGCATCAGCAGTCTCAGATGAAACATTTTTATCAGTTAAATACCTCCATAATTAATAAGAAAAGAATATAAAATACATAAAGTGAGGCTATGAATTTCACTCAAAAATTGCTTAGTCTAATTGAACACATCAACAGTATGTGTTTGCTTGCTATTCTGCTTCAGCTGAATTTGTTTAACATGCAGTGATGTATTTTAAAAGTTATGCAAATCACAGCCGTTTGCTTTGGATTAACACCTAGAAGATGGTTTAGACTGTATGGAAGTTCTTCACAACCTGAAGAGAAATCTGCTCAAGCTCACAAGAGGGCAGCAGAGTTCTGTTAAATGATAGACCAAATAGACAGGACAGTCTTACAGCATAATTAATAGCCTAGAATATGAATCAACATGCATTTCGCCTAAGTAATAAGAATAAAAAGTAAACTTAGCTGTACTTCCAGGGTAGTTATGCAGTAATGCTGTGTGCTTTTCTTTGCAGTGATGTATTTCCTCTGCAAGCAAATGGTGGCAAGAGGAACTGGAGGGAGGTTTGTACTGTGGACAGAAGAGAGGAAAGCATGGCGGCGTAAGGTACAGCTAAGGGCCGTCAGTACTGTTATTGAATTTTCAATGTTAGAACAATTTTATACAGTAGCAACCCAGAATTTAGCTAAAACCATTTTATCAGTTTCAGTTTGTAAATTCCTGTAAAACAGCAGACATTGGCATTCCCAGTGTAATTTCCAACATTGTTTCCTGCTGAATAGTGTACATGTAATTTGTATTGGAAAAAAAAGAATCAAGAGTGAAGTTAAATCCTGGCAACTCAGATACATCAAGGCAGCCTTAAACTATTTGAGTAAAGCCAACATCAACCAAAATGTTCAGTATGTTTATACCATGTTTAGTGTAGAATGTCTGTGATTACATTTACATTATCTCCTACAGTATAGACCAGATCTATGTATTCGTAATACAGGAATGTACAGGTTTAAATCTTTTAAGTAAAGAAAATACTGGGGGCTTACAGTGGGCAAATTAGTACTTTGTATATAATGCCAAAGTTTGGGATTTTTAGCATTAATAGCACAATAACCAGGAGACTATATACCATGAAAGTGGGATACTTGTAGCGTACAATATGTGTGATAAATGTTATGTTTTTGATGTGATGTAAAGATCTTTATTTGCTTAATAAACTCTTTATTAATATTTCAACACTCTGCTAGTGTCTTGTGTGGTAATTATACCATTCCTGATGATCAATCACAGTGTAATAAACAAGAAGTGTGACAAAACTCAGCTACTGTAAAAGCTGTGCTGAGTTGAGTTTCGGGGGATGTCCACACTCTCAACCAAAATTGAGGAACCGAAACCGCGTCGCCTGCTTGCAGAAAGATGTTTGTTTACCTTGAACTGCAGCTGCAGTGTGGAGCATGCTCAAAAACAAGACCTGGCTAAGCTTAGTTTAGCCAGACTATGAATGCAGCCTGTATGGAACATTGTATGATAGCTAGTCAACTTCTCATTCTTGGACGCACTGCATCCGATCCAATTAGTGATCTATGATTGAAGGAATATGTGAGCATTTTTTTAAACTAAATCTGCCACAGTCGATTATCATGGATAATTTTCATGTACAGAAAATAATTTGCCTCGAAACACTAAGTACACTATGACTGAGTGCTGGTAAATGTGTTGAAATGATTTTTCATGGTAATCAGCTGTGTGCTATTTCTTATTGAGGGAACTATGATCCCTCTGTATGGGAGCAAGTCATTTATTACAGTGGTTAATGTTGAAATCAGTCCATTTTTGTCCTTTTGAGGTTGTTGCAGCCATAGCAGACAATGTTGCTGGTCCCTAAAATGGAACCTCCCACATGGTTTGACCCTAGAAACTCTTACACATGCGCATTTCAGCAGTGGAATCGGTTGGTGAGGGACTATTCTTGGTTGGCCCACTCAGATGTCCAGTAAACAGAGGTGCTTTCTAATGGGCTAAAGCATATCTAACCCTGCTGTAACTTGTTGCTGACAGGTCATGGGCCCCTCTTAGGGCACACGGCTGCACTATTATTTCTGTGAACACTATTACTTCTGTTGCCCTGATTCAGTCTCTTATACTCATTTACTTAGCCTATAAATAGTGGTGTCAACATCAAGGGCATGCTTGCTTTCACACTTACTGCAGAAAATGTACACAGCCTTCATCGTGATAAGGCATAACAAGTACATGCGTGTCATTTCCTCTGGCAGGAGAGGCTACAATCAGCCCTATAGCCTGCAAAGAACACAACACATTGTCATCCATTCACATTTTACCCAGATTCATTTTCAGTGGTAGATCTTTATCCTCAAGCCCCTTAGTAAATAAATCATCAACCTTGAAGTGTGATTAGCAAATGAGTTTTTCCAGACTGTTTTCTGTCTATCTCTGTCACGCTGCACATGAAATACACACAAACACACCTACCACACAAGCCATGCAGTGGAGCAGCTGTGTAATGGCTGGACTACACAGTTCCTGCCTGGTGAAGGCAGAAATGTTCTTTGTCATGGCAGGGCTGAAAAAAGGTCGACTTTGTCCAGAGCGCTCTAGGGGGAAACAATGTGGCTGGGTAATTCTTAATAACCTTTCAGTTATATGGTTATTTCTGAACTTCCCTTTTTGCATGGCCATACTGTATTTAAAAGAATGCTCTCTATGGAAAGCACAGTCATTATAGGTCATTATATACAGCTCAAACCAGAGCTGAGTTTACAGTAAATGCTGACATGACACCAATTCTCTAAAGGTTATTTATCAATTCAGCTTAATTTAATGCAGAGAGATTTTCCATTTTCCACTTAATAATATTAAAATGGTTTGGCAGCTAGTCTTAAATGTTTATGTCAAAGGTAAAAACTTGTCAAATCTTTGTATCGCCAAACTAGTAACTTTTAAACTTTTTCAAAGAAATTTGCAGGGGTATTTTCCACATCTCCAAAGTTCTGTCTTAGCAGTTGGTTGTATTGATCCTAGTAAACCCACATTCACACATTCAGTGATGTTAAGGTGTGGGCTCCAGAGAGCCAGTCTGTTGTTTTCAGAACACTAGCATCTTCTTTGTTTGATTTGCGAATCCTTTTTTTTTTCCTCAGTAACGGCTTCTTGACAGCTACACATCCTTTCAGACCCATAGTGTGGAGTTGTCTTCTGACTGTATAAGAATGGACAGAAACACGTGGATTTTTTTTATTTCAGAGCTGAAGCAAGAGTGGAGCATGTTTGGAGTGGTGAGTGGAGATTTCTGTTTCTCAAAGATGAAAGTACTGTTTATCTGATGGTGACAGTTTGATGGTCTACCAGGTCCTGCACAGTTAGTTGGAGTCCCAGTTCCTCTGTAACTTTGGATTCATATTTTAACTCTATTTAACCTATTTTTCACTTATTTTCCTTTGACTTTCCTTTTGTTATACAAGTGGATTAGCTTTCCTGATTTCCTAAAAAATGAATAAAGTTTACTTAATGGATGTTTAGACTGAAAGTTAAATCAATAAAAGGTAGTCTCTGACTTTTTCACAGTATTGTATTATATAAGAAAATATGAATTTTCTATTCTATTGAACATTCTATACAAGAATAAAAAAGTCTTTTAAATATTAGATGTCCCATTCAAATATACTTGCCATGTGTTTCCTGGAGCAATCACCAAAATCGTCCCTCAATCCAGCACATAAACACACATTAATCTCTCTAATTCCTCCCTTGAGTTTGGTAAATGCCTTAGTCTAAATGCCTCCTCCACCACTGAAAAACAAACAGTACCTTTTCCCTTATCAAGCAGCAGGGTTGTGTGCGGTGGAAATTAAGCTCCCTTTCTCTATCTTCTCCAAACACACACACTCTCCCTCTCTGGAACATTCCTCTCTTGCCCTGTGACTGGCACACCATAACAGTGTGCTAAAAGACAGCTTGAGTGTTTGAATGGCTTCTCTCAGAGCAGAGGTTGAGTGTGTCAGAGAGAAACACATGAAAGAAAGTGAGAAAAGAGAGAGATCGCTTCCATCTCTTCTGGAAAGATGGGAATAATTGTCAATAGAGTTTCTTATGACTGATAGGCCCTAGGGGCGGCCCTGTGGACTCCCTGCACCTGCACTGGCCTTCTGTTGCTGCTTTCAGTCAGACTGCAAGTTCCAGTCATTTCATGTAATACCTTAATGTGAGGGAGCTTTTAGAAGTATTGAACTTTTTAGATGTCTTGAAGATGCTGATCACCATCACTGTGAACAATTCTGACTTGTTAAGTTTCTCTAGAATGGAGTATTTCACATCAGAACGTTCTTAAAAACTTTAGCCACTTAAAATCCTAGGCGTATTACATACTAAGACTTATTACTACTAACTACAAGGGACTTCAATGCAAACTGTCTGGGTTATTCTTAGGTTATAGAAGCGTGTAATAAAACTTTTGGCCCATCGGCAGGCCCATGGCCTTTTAAGGGTTTAAACTGTAACCAGTCGTAATTCCCCTTTGAGGCATGCAGTTTGTATGATGATGAACTGGTTGCTAAAATGCCCATTAATTGTCAGCTACATTAGCATTATAGTTCCAGCACAAAACTAAAGAAGCACAAAAATGATGTCTTGGATGTTCAACTACATTTTTTTCTGAACTGTTACTTCAATCATTGATTTAAAACTGTTTGTCATGTTCATGTGTGCTGTCTGCTGTCCTGCCACATCTGCTTCAATATAAACAGATACTGTATATTTTTGGGTAGTAGAGTACATGGTGTTAACCGTTCGCTGCGCTCTCTGAGGCGGCTAATTGAAAGAGACTATGGTATAGTGGGATGCATAAACACACACACATACACACTCACATACCCACACACAAACACTCATGCACAGTGGCTCAGTGAGTCACAGGGAGTCGGAGTATCCGCTCCACATCCAGAGACAGTTAGTACACAAGGCCGCCGCCTCATTCTGTCACTCTCGATCAGCACAGCCGTCCTGCCTTCCCCTCAGCACGCTTTACTGCTTAACACACCCCAGCACACACGCCACACAGCTGGAGCGCTGGATTTTACCTAGCACACTTAAACCAGTGCTTCACTGACTGTACTTAGTGTAGCAAACTGTACTTCCTCAAATTTAACGAACACACGCAGTAGTAAGGTCACATTCATATGAAAGGCTGTATTAACAAGCTGTCCACAATCATGCAGGCACTATGCGCTGTGTTCTTACACTACCAGTGGTGTAACAGCTGGATGGGCAGGGAAGTGCAGGAAGGTTCACCGTGATCTGTCCTCCTAAAAACTTTTTTGGGCCCCTCATATTGATACTGACTCAATTGTATACTTATTATTCACAAAACTATCCAGATTCTTAACAAAATACCTCACTAGTTAGCTTCCATCATTACTACACAGACAGATCTGATGTCTATTTAGCCCATTTTTTACTGCACTGGGGCCCATAAGACCCTACACTATTGTTCTTTACTATCTAGTGCCTGGATTTTTGTAGGATACTATCAACTCAAATTAAACAGTATAGAATAGCGAACTATTTTTGGTACTTCACAACATTACATCATGCCAGATGCAAACAACCACTGTCCTGAACTTTTTATTACTAATTTACATGCGAATTTAAATCTCTTCTGCTACATATGTTAGCTTGTGACCACTTGTAAATACTTCCTGTGTCTCAAATCAAGTAGTTCAGTAGTGAACAAACTATTGTAGTGTAGGAATGCTGCACACTGTTAGCACTCATCAGCAACAGGCTGAGATGCATAGCAGAGTGGGATGAGTCAGTTGAGGCCACTCATTTCTTTCCTTTTCCTTAAAATATTATACATATATATTATATGTTTGTAATTTTTGTGCAACTTTATTCATGTTACATCACTGCAATATGCAGCTAAGGATTTCAAAATGTTAGAATTGTAACTGGGCATTATGTTATGGCTAACTTTAGCTTGCTAACATTACTTAATTGAATTAGCCAACACAATTCAATAACATGAAGCACTTTGCAGTAGTTAATCGTCTCTGTTTTCTGCAAAGTGTTAGTGTTTGATTTTAAACAATACTATCTGACAAAGTCCAGGCTCTGGATAGTGAAGTACAGAGTACAGAGGAAGTCATTAACAGCACATCACATCTTGCATTAGCAGTATGCTACGTCTCATTGCATTTCCATGTCTGAACATATTGCACTAAAAGTAGTTTCTACAGTACAGACGCAAGCTACTCAGTTTGAGGTGCAGCTGTACATGGCCTGCAGTAGTGCATGGAGCATTGCATCAGCTCAGTAGTGAAGACCTCATGGAGGTTTTGAGGAGCGAACCACAGGAGAGCTGAGCCAGGTGTGTTTCTGACAGCAGTCTCCAGCTGCCTCTCTGACAGGTGAACCAGCACACACGTACACAGGTGCGAGGATGACAGGTGATGGAGGAGAACCAATCATACACTGACAGGTTGACAGGCATTGATAATGCTCCCACTGATACCAACCCACTCTTACCCACAGCAGATACGACTACCTGGAGGCACCATATGGACACCCATCCTCAAACTATTTCTATCAACATAGAACATACATTTTTCATACTCTATAATCCTCAGAGCTCTGATGGTATAATGTACTCTAAAGACACAACACAGCATGGTGGTGGTACAGACTCTGAGCTGGGGGAATCATTTCTTTTTAATTAGGAGATCTTTTTAGATCTGTAGGCAGCACATGTTTCTGTATCATCTCCATCTTAACAAAACCTTGTGTCTCTAAAATGTAACTTTTCAGGGGAAGCAGTAAACATTCTTCACTTTTAAAAAGGCCCATATTCTACATTTTTCCTGTAGTTTTATCTCTGAGGTCCATTTATGTTTGTGTAGTTTTATGAACCAAAAACATTCATAATTCTTAACCATTTTCAAACCTTTCTTTATTCCTTAAAATAAACAGACTGTTTTTTGTTACTGTGCTTTCAGAACTAATACATGTATATTACACCTATTTTCATTGTCTGTCCTGTATTGTGCCTCATTCAAAACACAGTCAAGGCTGAAACACTCCTTTTAACTTCAGTGCAAATGGGCATGGCAGTGTGAATGAGTTTTTTATGACATCACAAAAACAATGAATTCTAAACAGGCTGTAGCTTTTGCAGCTTAGCTTCCAATTCTGGTCTGTATGGACTGGAGCATGAACGGTACATTTTAACACTTATAATAATAATGCATATTAAAACAAACTCTTTTATTTTAGAAAAAAGCAATGAAACATTGCTTTTACATGATACAGGCTCTATTTCATACTTTAGCAAAAAGATTTTATTTGTGTAATTCTGGATCATTTCTAGTGGCCCATTTGTCATGAACTATTCTATGCAATGTACAGGGAAGCTAGTATTTTTAAATAGAGAAGAAACGAAAAAGGAGTTGTGAGCAGTGTTAGTGTACACACTTCTTATTCTGGAACTCATATGACTGGTCTGTGTGTGCTGACCTTACAGTGAACAAGTTCTACTGTAAATGTCACATAATATGTAAAATAATATCAGTAACTGACTAATAAACAAGCACATCATAGCTCCTAATACAAGGACGCACATAATATTAACACATATAAACACACACATAAACATCCTACACACTGTGTCAATTTCCTGAAATAGCTGCCCTTTATTACAGCAGGAGACCATAAAAAGATCCCCTCAGCCCCAAAAAATCTCACATTATTATATACAAAACTTTATAAAACATCAAACATACCACACAAATAAGTGACATGAAAGAGTAAGAAAGAGACAAAGTGAGAAACACTGTGTTGAGAAGCGTTCAGCCCACTAATGCAATCGTTCTTTAGAACCTCAAGCAGCACAGAGGGAGGCAGGAAACAGATGGCTATGCTCTCCCTATGAACTGCGCAAGAGGACACAGTATTCAATATGTACCTGTACCAAGCAGACAAGAAAAAATGCTGCTTTGAGTTTACTTGATTCAAATATATACAATGTTTCCACATGAATGAAATATATTACATCAACACAATTACTGTTGTTCATTTTACGTACTTTTGGCAAGAATTGTGTTATATGTATTTCCTTCATGTGGAACAAATGAGTACATTTGAATTAAGTACATTCAATTCATCAGTTTTACAGTGCTTCTATCAGCAGATATGCTTCCTCTTTGTGCTGATCTGTCTTAGAAAGGTAGGCTAGATATTCAAACATGCATACACATACACTATGCAGTACCACTTAAAAGTTTGGAAACAACTGCTATTTTATCCAATAACAGTGCATGCAGCAAAGGTTTGAATTATATATACCACATACCAAATGGGATTTTATATATTTTATTCAGTATTTCAAGTATTTGGGAAACAATAAGGACCTATTAATTGATTAATTATTTAACTGTCTATTTTGATCATTTTGCACATATGAGGCTGGATATTTATTTTATTATAACATATTTCATAAATGTATACAGCCATTATATACATTATGCAGTCATTTTCAAGTCATTATTCTGGACATGCTTCACTATTCTGGACAGTAAAGTTACCTTTTTGCACTTTACTCCACTTTGCATAGGGCTAGCATCATATTATAATCAATATACATCACAAAAGTGGATTATATATATTTTTGGATAACACTGATTCCAAACTTTTGAGCAATAAGGTACACACAGGTTATAATATACTCAGCATGCTGAGCATACAGTGGGGTACACTGGAACAAAAAAAAACAAAAAAAAACAGAATTCATCTATTCAACATCTCACATATCAGTGGAACACATTTATTCGCTCTCTTGGAGGTTGGCAGCCTGATTTTTATACTCGGATCAGGTGATAATCTCCTGAATGTCCTTATTTAACAGCGCTGAAAAAGGCCAAACCAGCAAGAGCCAGCGCATACACTGAGGCACTTAATATTGCAAGACACAAACTGTGGATTAAAAAAGGTGGTTTGTGTCCCACTCTGAGAAACACGCACTTTTACATCCAAATATGAAAGCACTGACATTTGCAAATACTTACATTAACACATACTCCTCAAATAAGTGATATGTTTCTACAAGGAGCTAAAAATGCAGAGTGATCTCACACAGTTCTATCTGAGAATTAGAATCAAAAGTCTCAGTCAAATTTCCCATCTCAATTATTATTTTAACATGCCCTCGGCCGCTTCGACTAGCTACACAAGGGGTCACTGCTTTTCAATGTTAAACTTATTTTGAGCGGTTTGAGCGTAACGCACATAACATTTGTGAGTAAAGTGATCAAGTTGTATGAGCAGTCATGTAAGACATATGAAGCAGTTTGTAACCTAAAGCCCAGAAAATTGAATGTTACGGTTTTGAAATGTTAAGCATTTTAAAGTAGTTTACCGCTATGGCTTATAAACAGCCTTATCTGCCATTATTTTTTGGTATGAAAAGGGAAAAGCATTAGTTTGCAATGATGGGCCAGATCTGCTGCCGAAGTTGACACTCGATCCCTCGCCTCTCCGAGAACACATCTAACTCCCTTCACTTGAGCTAATAATGTAATAGAATGGCCCTCAAGGTGGCCTTGGATACCCCCGAGGGGAAATGATGAGGCCAAGTGGACGAGGTCTTGTTAAAGTACCATTAAAATGGGTGGAAAGTCTGACCTCCAAGCACACTCACAAATAGAAGTGGGAGAAACAATCGATGGTATAGTGATACTTTGCTTGAAAAGATAATATTAAAATTAAAGTGAGCCTGAAGTGAGATGAACAAAGTGTAAATTAGGTGAAACAGAAAAGTTTTCTTTTTGGAGACATAATTTTCACACTGTTAATATTGCCATGATTTCACAATATTTAAGACAAAATTTTCACAGTAAAAACTGTAACCATTATTTAATTGTAAAATCAACCTAAGATATTTTTTTAGTTTAAGATTTACTTTATTCAAAGATCAAAAAGATTGGTTTAGTAAAATTAAAGATATATTTTTCACATGTATATATATACTGTAAATTACTGGTTACTGAGTTGCATTATTTTTACAGCTGTTATGTAAAAATACAGGACAAATAGCTGCATCACAGTAATATAAAGTTGTTATTTTACTGTTATGTACTGTTAACCTGGTACAGTACATTAGTGTGCCAATAACAAAAAAAGCAAATAAAAACTTTAAGCAGTGATTTATTAAAATGCATTAACCTATATTTGAATAAAAAGTACACAAAGACAAGATATTTAATGTTGATCAACTTCATTGTTTTTTATAAATACATACTTGTTCTGAAATTAATGCCTGCTACACATTCCAAAAAAGTTTGGACAGGGTCAATTTAAGACTAGGAATGTTCAAAAAACCTCTAAAACAGGAGATACAATCGTGCCTGGGTATAAAAGGAAAGGCTGAGTCCTTTATGAGCATCACCTTCTACAGTGCATAATAATATGAAAAATCCAGGGAATCTGGAGAAATCTTAAAGGATAAGGCCAAAAACCACAACTGAATGCCTATAAATCCTTGCGCTCAGACAGCACTACATTAAAGAACAACACGCTTCTTTGATGGAGATGTACAAATGGGCTCGGGAATACTTTGACAAACCACTGTGAATAAACACCGTTCATCGCTGCATCCACAAATGCAAATGAAGTCTGTATTATGCACAGTGGAACTCATATGTCAATAACATCTAGAAATGCTGCCAACATCTCTGGGCTTAGTCTCATATGAATTGGATTGATGCACAGTGGAAACATGCATTGTGGTCTGATAAGCCAAACTTTCAGACTGTTTATGGAAATAATGGACGTTGTGTTCTGCAAAGAAGAAAAAGACCTTCCAGACTGTTACCAGTGTAAAGGTCAAAAGCCAGGGTCAGTCATGGTATGGGAGGGCATTAGTGGATAATCTGCACATCTGTGAAGGTATCATTAATGCGAACACGTTTTGGAGTAACACATTCTGCCTTCCAGATGACATCTTTTTCAGGGACGTCCATGCTTATTTCCACATTAAATATATGGCTGTGTAATCAGAGAGTGTGGGGGATATACTGGCGTCCCTGCGGTCCAGACCTGTCCACCTTTGAAAATGTGTGCAAAATACAACAATGAAGGAGCCGTACAGTTGTGCAGGCTTATATAGCAAAAGACTGGCAAAACATTCTGCTTTCAAAACTGGATCAATGGGTGTCATTCAACTGCTTATTAAGTGATGTTAAAAGGAAAGGTGATGTAACACAGTGGTAAACATGCTCCTGCCCCAACTTTTTTGGACTATGATGCAGGCATCAAATTTGGAATGAGCATATATTTGCAAAAAACTGTAATGTTCACAAGGTAAAACATAACATTTTGTTTTTCATTGAACCTATTCACTGCTTTCTGATTTTATTAGCATTTCGTATAATGCCCAAACATTTTTGTAATTGGATTTATGACTAGTAGCCAGTAATTTACTGTAATATTAAAGTAAAATGTTTTACAGTGTCAAAAATAATTCACTATATACCGCAACATCTCATATCAAAATAATCACAATCGCATCATGGCTCAAGTATCGTGATAATATCACATAGTGCTTCCCACCTCTAGTTACAATATCTCACAGAGGAAGACTGGATAGGCAAAGATTCAAAACATACCAACACTCACACAGGCAATTTAGGCAACAGACACATATCTACATATTAATCTCAGTGTGTGCTACGATTCGTCTAATATGTCAGGCAAGACTAACAAAACAGCAGAAAAATCAGCTAATCATCAGCTAATACTGTGCTAGTCATCAGCTAATACTGTGAACCTTAAAGTAAACAAAATGAAAGTTATTGATTCCTCACAGATTTTACAAAAAGCCAAAGAGTCATAAATCTCTTACAGCTAGTCACTGAAAATCAAGGCAGGGAATAATATTGCTTTGGGCCAAGCCCATTCCTAGTCCCCAAAATAAGCCTGATCCTAATATTCTAAGGCTCTTTCCCTGAATCCCCTTATTCCACTGTTTTATAGAGGGACAGTTTCAATGTATTCCTCTGTGTCTACCCTTGCACGGCCCTCCAGAATGCTTCTGGGCAACTTTGCTGTCTTCCACTCCCCTCCTTCCCTCCCTTCCAGCTCCCCCTTCTCCGCCCTGGGGCTGTTTGGACTTCCCTGCTTAGAAGACCTAGCTTTGCTTGTACTCCAGTCCACTGCAGGCTCTGTTTTGCTCCCCCTGCCCCCTGGTAGACGTCTCCTTCTGGGGGGCCCCCAGATGAAGTTCTCAGGGGGCTGGTAGTGGTGCTGGGCGAAGCGGAGCAGAGCGCGTCTCTGGCTAGGAGCTCGCACCGTGTACACAAAGTACTCCAGCGCGCTGTGGCGCATGTTGGGCAGCGTACCCTCAACCAGAGCTTCCTGCAGAAGCAGCTGAACCAAATGGGGCTTAAAGCTCTCGAAGCCCAGCTCACCCAGGCTCTTCAGAATCCGCGTAATCCGCAAGTAGTTGTGCTGAGATCTGCACAGGAAAAGCAATCATTTATAATTTATCTTATCATATATACATACATACATTTATACACAAAATATTTTTCAGACAGCGTACTGGCAGAAACAGGAGAAAGGAAGGCTGCACAATATGAAAGACTGCAATGCTTTTGTATTGCCAGTTGAATGCAAAAGTTTGGGCACCCCTGGTAAATTACGTTTTGCTAATTTTCTCATTGAAATCCTCTATTTTTGCAAATTATAGTGCACAATTACTGTTTATTTGCTGAATTTAACAAATTAAAAAACATAAAACATGGTCTGAGAAGTCTGTTCTCTGTAGAGGATGTGTTAAGTTTCACTTCTTTGCCATATGGTGAACTCTGATTGCAATATGCCTAAAGACATTAGTGAGCCCTTGATGTGACATGGTTAATAACTGCGCAGCATTATTTTGACCAAAATACATTTTATTTGATCACGTAAAAGCTTTAATTAATTCCTAGAAAACCTCCTCTGAAACATGGTCAGGATGCTCACAGCACACAGCATTAAAACACTGTGATTGGTTAGAGGCATCATTTGTGTAATGCAACCTTCTGCAATATCATTACTGCAAAGACTGACATTGCAATATTAACTTAACTCTAAAGATCCACTGGCAAGTCAATACTCCAAGTACTCACTCTCATAACTACATATCTTACATGTTATTTTTCCAGTAGTCACTGAATAGCTAATAGTAGGTATGGGATCATAAGTCTTATTAATAATATAAAATTAATATAGTAAGTCAAGAGCTAGAGGAGCTAGTTAAGAGGTTCAACTTTAGGACATGGCTTTTTCCTATTTTATCTGATCTTTATCTTTTATCTAAACTAATGAAGGATAGCCTCTGAATGGCAGTGCTTCCTAAAAGCCAGCGCAGACATGATAACAGACTGCACATCTCTGAGATGTCTGTAATGGCCATTATGGGTGTGTGTCCTCTATGGTCCCAGTCCTGGGGCAATAACACACAGACAAACAGACGCACACACAAAGTCACCCTGCACAGCAGATTCTCTCTCTTTGAACGTCTTGTCTGTCCATCTGTTGGTCTATGTCTTCCACCTCACTTCAGTCTGTCTTATTTGAGTACTCTCACTAGCAACCAATCTCTACATCAACTGCTTTCTGAAGTAGCCTGGGTTAGGGACTACTCTCCGTGTGTTTGACCCACTTCTCTGCCCACTGAGTGTGACAGTAATGTGATGCTACAGTAAGGAATCATTGACACCAACGCTGAGAAACAGGAAGCTGCCAATCCTCTGTAATGCTGGGCTGCATGCAGGGGTGGATTTAGTGATTCTGGGGCTCTAAGTAAAAGACAGAGCCCCCTGGAGGCACATGTTTAAATTAGTTGAGGCTCTGGGCTCCCTAGTGATGCAACCATCAACACTGCAAAAATATTGTACGATTATTTCACTTATTTCTAGACATTTTTTCTTATGTATTTTATTAAGTGAAATTATCTTTCTATTTTGGCAGATAATTTTGCTAGCTTTTGAGAAATCATGCTTAAAACAAGCAAAATAATCTGCAAATATAGAGAGATAATTTGGTACACAGTAATGTAAAAGTAAAGTACTGAGTAATGAGATTTCAGGAAACAGTAAGTAGCATAAGCTTTACATTTTGAGAGTAGTAGTAACTTGGAATGAAAATCATACCAAAGAGCCGCCTCTCCAAAATGTAGATTATCGCTTAATTGCATTATTCATCCCAGTCAGTCTTTATGCAGTTGTGTCATCAAGCAACCATATGGAACAGTCCAATATAACCATGATCAGGTGGTGGCGCTGCGTTAAAATGCACTGAAAAGAAGTGCTGCAATCGCAACTAACAGCTACTTTTTAAAATGTACACATATTTCGGAATAGGTGATTGAACATCAACACATACAGTATCTCTGATTTGTATTTTCACAGGGCCCTTGGCTCATGGGGGTCCTAGGCATCTGCCTACTTTTACCTAGAACACCCCTGGCTGCATGAGCACATATAAACGTAGTCAAAGCAAAGCAAGGTATAAAGACTGCATAACCAGAGGAAAGAGGTAGAATGATGTGGAACAGAGCATTTTCAATTAGGATAAGCAACAGTAGTGATGTCTGGACATACTCTTTTTATTTACCCTGAGAGTTATTACTGCTGTTTGACTACACATGTGTGAATAAATTAATGAACGAACAGTTTAAAGTTTAAAAACACACTTTGAACACAATATCTCAGAGTGAGAAATAACTAAAAATTATAGGCAGAAACGTTTCAACGGTTATACAAAATGGGGGACCTGGGACTACAACGCAAATTACTCCTCAGATCTGACACCAAACAGAGTGAATGCACAGAGGGGGGTTCCAGCTCTTACTCGTTCAGGTGCTGGAAACGGTCCTGCCAGTTCGGAGCACGGGATACATTTCCATTCTTATCTAAGAGCTTGATTCCAAAGAAGTCCAACATGATGGTGTATGCCTGCAAGAAGCGTCGCTTGGCCTCTCGAGTGTTCTGGAATTCCTGTTGACATGATTTCAAAGAATCAAGATACCAGTTAATTCGTAAAATACCACCAAATAGAGTAAATAACAAACATGACAATAAAGAAAACATCTCTTTTGTTTAAAATGTCTTTACCTTGATCTCATCCTGAGTGAGTTCCTGGGCATAGAAATTGAGGCCTTGTTCCCTGAGTGGGAAAAGCCTGAAGGGGAGGGAAGAGAATAAAAGAGAAGAGAAGAAAGAGAAGAGATTTATCATTGCTGTCATTTCAAATCTTTGTCTCTAAAATGGAAACTTTATAGTAAAGGGAAAAAACATTAACTTTAATGTACGTTAACATAACAAAATGTTATTCCAAGTCATTTTGGACCATATCTATTGGTCCATTCGTTATGAAGTATTCAGATAAGGTATCAAATGGTGTAAAACGTAAAAACAGTAAAAATAGTATAAGGTTTTGATATGACAGCAACGATATCCAAACATGTATAAACTCTCGCTCATAAAAATCCTTCTGATCGGTAAATGCAGTGCATGTATGCTTCACTTCTGCTCTTCCACACACAGGCACACGCTCAGCCGCTCAGCTGCAGCGTGACTTATGGCTTCCTCTGTTCGCAGGCGATGAAAGCATTGATGAGCCAGCTCTCCCCGATAATAAATCCTGCTGGAATGGGCATGAGCGACTTTCACCAGGACAAAGAAGGAGGGAGGAGAGAGGGATGCAGCAGAAAGAGAGGACATAATAAAGGGCAAACTTCCTCCCTGTCAGCTGTTTGATCCCTTCTACTGCTAGCTGTTAAACAACTCGCAAAGGACAAGCCTGCAACCCAGACTGTTTTCCTCTCTCTCAGTCTTTTTCTCTCTGCTTTCTCTCTAACAGGCCAAGCAGTTCTGGCTGGTTGCCTGCTGCACTGGGCAAGCCTCCACTGCCATCTCTTATTAATTCAGTTAACAAAGGCAACGCTAGCAATTCGTCTGCACACGCTCACTTGTGTTTTGAAACTTGCTAATTGATATTATGCAAACAGTCCTCAGCTTTGTCAGCAGTGAGAGTGAGAAGAGTGGCATATGTGCCAAGCCCGGTTTTGTTCTGCTGATTTGTGCAGGGCTGGCGCCTCAGGACTCAAAGCCAAACACAAGGTCTCTCACCTTTACTCCTCACTCAGCTGGCCGGGCCTAAGCCTACACTGCCAGTTTCTCTCCTTAAGTACAGGTGATAATGTCACACAGCAATACATGCAGGGATGAAACCTAACCCTTTGAAGTGCACAGTTATTACTGTCGTTTAGCTATGCTATATAAATGTAATAATGTAATTACATTTATATTTGCCCTACATTCTGTAAAGAGGCAGCTCTTCCAGCTGTATTACTGTTAGTTTTCATATAAAAAAAATCCAAAAATGGGAAAAAAATAAAATAAAATTAATAAAATTCAAATGATAATAAAACCTCTCCTTTTCTACTTACAATTACTTACAATTAGTTTTGATTGAAAGTTTTCAACAGATTTTCTGGCCTTTTGGTGAGTGAGAAACAATCAATACCAAAGTAAAATAACATGAGACGCAAAATATTCTTATGAATCCCTCTCTGTGATCGCCTGCATATTCATCTCTTGTCTGGATATCAAGGAAAATAATATTGGGTGACTTACCACTGAATATAGGTGTGATTGTGCTCAAGCTTGTCATAGTCTCCCTTCCATTTGGTGAGGATCTCTTCAACATATATTCCTGCAGAGAAAGACATGGACATCTGTGTCAAGGAAAATATAACATGAACAGTGTTGGAAAGTGTCTATCAGATATGAATTTAGGACTGAAATCAAATGACGTAAATAAGGAACGACAACACAAAATGACAAGAAAACATTTATGTAAGAAATCAATATCAATTCATACAGGATAAAATGTCTGTGTAATTTGCCTATGAGGTCATAGCCTGGACGTTCACATCAGCACTATACAATAACACACTAAATAAAAATAGAAACATGGCACATTGATGTGTCTTATGCCAGGTTTTGTAATAACTTTATTGTGAGGTTGGTTAAAACAGGACGAATGTGTTTCCATGTTCAGCCAGAAGGTAATTCACTCCTTAAGTTTCACCGCCAGACTTGTAAAAGCTACATGATTAAAATCACAGACTTCATCAACAATCACTTAAATTATAAAACAAACCCAAGTAAAGTAACCCAACATGAACAGGGCTGAAAACATAAGTTAAAGGTGTTCCTGATACTACAGAATTATCAGAGGTCAAGGTTATTTGAGGTTTGGACACATGGGGCTCTCACAAGAGACCCAGTCCACAGCTGTGTCTTAGTGTGTGTGTGTGTGTGTGTGTCTTAGTGAGCATTTCTGTGTGGATGTGCCCTTGCGCCCCAGCTGCTGAGAGGCAGTCGTTATGTGGTCCGGTGTTTACACTACAAATCACTCCTTAATCCAACTAATTCCACTACAAACCAATCAATGGCTCCTCCTCTATGAAACACGACGAAGAGATACCTGCCTGAAGAAAAAGTCTGCAGGCCTGCTTCAGCTGTTTTATTCACGCATTCTAATAATATTCAGCAGATCTTGTTCTATGCACTGTTCTATGTTAAAAGAAAATGGATATCCCATGATATGGATGAGAGGGTGTGAAGACATTTTTGTGGAAGTATGACTACACTTTGTGACAGAGCTTATTTTGCAGTTTGAAGAGCAGATGTTGCCAGTTGAAGAGCTGTGCAGGCTGCCTTTGAAACATCAAGGAGAATTTGTTCTCATGATATACAGTACATCAGCACTGAATCAAAAGCACTGGCATATTTTTACAAAAATACACTCAAAAGTGCAGGTAAAGGGTTGGAGTAATGCCAGAAAAGTCAGAGATTCAGCTGTTGCTAGAGATGAGGACAGCAGGTTAAGCACTGCCCTTGCAGCAAAACATATTGATCCACCTCTTAAAACCTTCCCTATATGCACCAAATATGACAACAAACATAAACGATAAAACAGACCAGCATAACCTCACATTACAGCTTTAACCCCTTAAACTCTCATGGACCTGTATGCGAGTCAACTCATAGCTACATAACTTACATATTAGTCTTGTAATAGTTACCAAAAAAATTAAAGTAATTAAAGTAATAAATAATGAATCTTAAGATTATTAAGTGTGTAACAAGCCAAGACATCAGAGGTTAAACTATTCTGCACATTAAGATACAACTTCAGACAGTGGTAACTATTCTAAGACATTGACAGATGATACTACAATACAATAAAGAGCAAAGCTACTAAGAAAAATGAATGAAAATGCTCTATTTAGGCACAGGGGGTTGTGAGAAAGAGTGTGGTAACATACACACACATGCATCCTCTTACCGTCTGGTACCAGAGGAATCTTATTCAGGTAGAACCTCAGATTGCGATACTCGTTTAGCTGTCGAGGCTCTTTGTAATTCTGTAAGGAGAGAAGAATAGGAAGAGGTGGAGAGTGTCCATCAGTCCTGAATCTACAGCAGACTCAGTATGAACTTGTGAGAGTGTCACTGAGGGCAAAACATCTGTCATCTGGAGACCAAAGTCATTTCATGTACCGCAAACTGATATAAACAACCTTCAGTGCACAGATCTGAGGATACATTATTAACAGTTCTGACTAACACTCCATTTTTCACTGCTGTAATTAGTGATTGCATATCAGTGTTGATGGGTGTCAGTATTGGGCTGCCATCAGCAAAAACTAGATATTGGAGGGAGTCATGTAATAAATCTAGCCTAAAAAAGACTATCAGTATTGGCCGATACTCAAGGTGTCAATATCGGCAATGGCATCTGAAAAGAAAAAGTGTTATTGTGTCATCTCTAGCTATAATTAATCATACAGGCTCTAGGTAGGGCTGCCATGATCACTTGATCAAACTCAATCAATCACTCAATTAAAAAAAAGATTACAGTTTTTGTTTTTTTTGTATGACAGAAACTTTATGTATATGTATATATAAGTCCATTTGCACTGTCTGGCATTTTTTAAATGCTCTAATTACTCAATTCCTTGTCAAAATAATCAGTAAATTACTAATATAATCAATAGTGACGGTCTTAGCTATATGAAAACCATACGGCCCACTTCCTAATGCTTAAGAAAGCATCAGTTCTAGTGCTGTGCTGTAGGTACGGGCTGGAGAAGTGCTGGGGAGAGAGTGGGTGGATAACTATGGCAGATAACTACAGTAAATAAGACTTTACCGGATAACTATGGCGGTACTTGTACAGGTCCTTGGCAGCATAAAGGCTTCTTTTCATCTTAGTGGACAACTCAACTGTGTCACCAAACTGAAAAAGTAAATGAGAGAGAGAGAGAGAGAGCAGAGAGAGAGGAGAGAGAGAGGAGAGAGAGAGAGAGAGAGAGAGAGAGAGAAGTGAATAGTAGGCAGAAAAGAATGCATGAATGAGCCCACTCACAAGCATCAGTGCTGAGCTACACAGTCAGTGCGTGTCCCCAAAGAGATGCAGAGTTTGCAGCAATTGGACAGTGAGGAACTCCATTTTGCTGAAGCTCCTTGTAGGCATTTTTTACTAATTCATGCTCAATCTTAGCCCCTGGCCCATAGTGATGTTCAGTCACTCTACGTCTCCACGCCTGAATGAAAATACACTGGCCCAGCACTACACTCCAGCACGGGCTGTGTCTCATCTGTGGTCAACAGCACAAAAAGCATGCTTTGTTTTGCAGAACATTTGTCCACATGGGACAACCATAAATTTAAATCATTTAATGTTTTTGAAGATCTGATAAAGACCTGTATGAGGATGCTCCAGGATGAAAGCAAGCATGAAGGACTTTTTCCTCAGATATAAAATATTCCCTTAAACCTGTTGTAAATATTGGAGATTTAACTCAAAGGAAAGGTCAGATTTAACAACTCCCAATCTTGGTGACCTCAACGCCTAACTGGTGGTGTAAAACTATCGTTTAAGCATCACAGTGACAAAACCCTGCTAGGAAAACCAGTATAGACCAGCATATGTTGTGTTTCAGATGCTGGTATGCTGGTCAGCAGCAAGGGACGTTAATATGTCATTCACCAACAAAACCAGCAGTAATGGAAGCTGATTGGCTGATCACCACCAAAACCAGCATATGTTGTGTTTTGGATGCTGGTCAACAAGCATGACCATGCTGGGTGACCAGCTAAACCAGCACCACACCATCACCAGACCAGCTTAGACCAGCACAAACCAGCTAAGACCAGCACGGAATTCATGCTGGTCTGTACTGTTTTTTTCACCAGGGAAAGGCGTAAATGAACTGAATGACAGTGAAAGGGGTCAAAACGAACAACGTTGGAGTGAACGATTATAAGTCAGCCTGCTATAAATAACCAGGGCTGCTTTAAACCACGGCAGCACATAGAAGAAGGACAGATGTTCTGAGTCGTAGTTATCATTAAAGAAAACGGAACATTTTCTAACCTAGGTAGTACTGCCCTCCCAGCTATCCTTTTTTGTAAATAGCTTGACATTGCCCACGCTTTGGCAACAACTACAATCTTAGCCATAGGCTGTTTGTAGAACAGCATCAGTCCAGTAATGGAGCGTGTTTTTCTCCTGATCATTCACGTCGTATTGAAAAGAACAAGCGTGCCAAATCTGAAATTAGGCTACCAAATAAGCTTTCTAATTTTAGCAGCACTTGCCCTCGCGACCCATTTCCCTTCGCTGTGTCGCTGAGCTGAAGCAGATCCCTCCTTTGTTGTCTCCTTTCAGTGGAGGTTCCTGAGCAGTAGCGGTGAGAGTACCTGCTGAAAGCTGTCCATCTGCTCGGCGCACTTGGCCGTTTCGCTCGGGCTCATGCTGTCCGAAATGCCGCTGTCCTCCTCTGCTCCCTGCGGCTGCTCCTCGCTCTCTGAGTCCGTTTCCCATGTCGAGTCGCACTCCTCCACGGTGCTTGGCTCCTTGTACCTCAGCCCGCCCATCAGATTGCCCATTTAAACCCGCTGTACTCCGCTTTCCCCCCGCAGCCTACATGCTGCCGTGCAGCGCAGCCGTGTGCTCCAGCAGCCACCCGCGACGCACCGCTTTTTATCCGGTGGGGGACTTCCAGCGGGGGCGCGCCGCACGTGTGCACACCCCTTCGCGTCACACGGCCAAAGCGGGAGCGCGCCTCGCCAGCACCAAAGCGGAACGGGCGCCGTCAGCCGTCAGCAAGAAGAGAAGAGTGGAGAGGAGCAGAGCTCACACACAGCCTTTCAGCGCCTCATTAAACTTACACTGAACCCTCTTTAACACCACACCGTTTGCACTTTAGAGATGACTGGGCAGAACAGCTTTGGAAGGGGAGGGGAGGGGGTGAGGTGGTTTGATGGGTATGAGGTATGCCCACTGAAAGTTGGCGAAAATTCCAGCGAATTTTTAAGCTCCTGATAAGGTTTGCCTGTTTAAAATGTAAGTGCGGTAGAGAAAGTTTCAGGCAGAAGTCAAGCAATTGTTTCTAAAGGTGAAATAACTGGTTCTCTAGAATCTAGAAACTTTCTGTACTGTACCAGAGCTTTCCCAACCTATATTATAGGTTAATGGTTAACGGTATATTACAGAGGATAGGCTACCCTTTGGAAAAACACTAATATTACAAATGATACGTATAACATAAATTCAGCAAGTACTGATTTTATCTATGTGAAAATGTTACTTTAACCATTTTCCAAGCCCAGTATAATTTGTAGCGATCATTCAATATACACACATACTACACACACACACACACACACACACACACACACACACACACACACACACACACACACACACATATGGTGTAGCTATGATCTGTTATGAGCTGACAAAATATCTAGAGTTTTATAAAAGGTACAGATCAAGAGAGTGATATAAAAGAGTATCAAAAGCACTGATAGCACCATAGAGCACTGTGAAGACTCTCATCAAAAGGTGGAAAAAATGTGGCACCACATTGCCAAGGTCAGGAAATTCCTCAAAATCAGATGACAGGACAAGAAGGAAACTTTTCAGGGAGGCTAGTAAGAGACCTTTAGCAACATTAAAAAAGGTGGAGGAACTTCCTGCTCATACTAACTTCTCTTTTCTTGCATTGACAACAGTCTTCTGTATTCTGCATGTGTCTGATTTACGGAGTAGAACAAAAAAACAAGAAGCCATTTTTCACAGTAAAGAACAGCCATTTTGCAAAAACACATTTAACCACCAAAATCATTTAACGAGACAAAGGTGAAGTTTTGGCCTGAATTCGAAAATATGTGACAACAAAGCTCATTTTTAAAGACCTACTCCAGTAAAAAATCAAGTTTTTAAATTTGTTACCAGGTCCATTTATATGCTATAAGACATCATGAGCGAAATAATGCCTTGGCTGAGTATTTCTACTTTGAAACTGCAGTGCACAAGGGACAGTCTCAAAAAGGCACCAGAAAGACAGCCAAGATTCATATGTCACAAACCTAAGGAACCAATCCTGTACACTGGCAAGGAGGGGCTTTCGTTATTGCATAATAATAAGGTGGAACAAGGTGTTTTAGAATAAGAAGCTGACTCCTAACAAATCTGCAACATGCTAGATAATGTTAGACAGTATTTGACTTACAAGGTAGACTACATCAGGATTCATGTCAAACGCTGACAGGACACTATACGGCTTTGGGATGTTGATGAAGAAAGTTACGATGTTTCTGACTAAAAAAATGATTTTGAAAAAACTAAAAGTGTGTCATGATAAAGGTCATCCTCATGAGCTGCTAGTATAGCATTAGCAAGATAAGGCTAGTCAATTCAAGTACATGTGGAATGTGCAGAAGAGCTGATTTCTGGCAAAAAGCCCTGAAGGTAGACTTCTATTTGCATATTCATAGATGCGCGCATTTTTTGTCTTTTAAAAAAAACTCCAAAATATGTAATTTTGATGAACAGAGATTAGTTTTAAGGGGTTTCATCAATGTCTGGAGAGGATCTTTCAGAACATCATACCGACTGTGAAGCCTGGCGATGGCATGCTTCTCTTCACTTGGAACAGGGGCTCTAGGCACAATAAATAGGATAATGATTAGCAACAAATATTGAAAAATTTTGCCACAAAACCTGTCAAAAAATATTGAGAAGATAGAGAGGAGCCTCACCTTCCCTGATAGTGATCCAAACCCCACATCTAAGTTAACTAAGAAATGGTTTAAAAAAAAGGAACATCTCTGCATTAGAATAATCTAGTCAGAGCCCAAACCTCATAAAAAGTCCCATAGAAAACCTGTGAAAGAGGGCTGTGCACAGGGGATCACCTGGCAATTTGAAGGCTTTTGAAATTTTTGCAAGGAATAGTGGGATACAGAGAACACATTTCTCTACATTTTAATGTACAGTTACTGTTTATTTGTTTAATTTAACTTTTTGAAAAATAAAACTTACAATAAGGCCTGTGCAAAAGTTATAGAACATTTAAATCATTTTATTTAGGTGTAATTTTGTTCCCAAAATGTTTTACTCAGCAAGTAAATGCAAATTGTGTGCTACAATTAGCAGAAAATGCTTTATTTAATTGTATTACCTGTAGAGGATATTAATTAGTTTTTGTGTATGGAGCTCTTAGGTTTAGCTGCTTTTAATTAATATCCTTGTTAGCACCAGAGGCTAACATTAGCTTAGCAAGAAGGCTAAGCTACCAGCAATTTTGATTCACTGATGCTTCAGTGAGGCAGGAGGATAAAGACTCAAAACTGATTAAGTGGAATCAAGTGCTGGAGTGCCAGAAAGACAGAAACTGTGATTATTAAAGTCACAGTGGGAGCTTAGTTTCTGCTCTGCCTCAGCTCGTCTGCTCAGTCTGTAACATACATAGAGATAGTATGTGGGGAAAAGGGTGGGGTTTAGAAATGGGGCATTAAGAGAGTGTTTTCAATTTGCATAATTGTGCATATTCATATTTCTGTGCATTCTAAATGGATGTTAAGGTTTAGGGTTGATCCTATGCCATTTTCAGGTGTTTCTTGGGAATAACAATAATACATTAAGATATGTAACGAATTAATATTTAACAAGGAATTTTTATGTGTTTAAATTATGTCTTTTGGGGGTACTCTGTGACAATTAATTGTACTACATAAGAGTTTTTAAAAATTTAAATGATATCTTTGATCTTCAGTATCTCAAACCTGCTCTGAATGTAGATAGAGGCATATAATTCTGAGCTGCAGGACAGAGGGATTGTGGTCACATTTGGGGCAAGGCTGGGTCAGTGCTCTGTGCTCCAGGCTGCTCATGCTGGCCAGCACAGATGGCCACTTCCAAAGGATGCAGAATGAAATCCAGACAGCTAGCATGGCCTGGAACTGTGCAGGGCTCAGGCCTTCATCTGTGAAGATGCTGGAAAGAACGGCGGCAGTGGCCCGGGCCAAGCCGATCGTTCTGGCTAGGAGAGAGGGCTTATCATTGAGGCCATGCTGGCTAAAGCTGAGATCCTGAAGAGTTTCTGTGGCTTCTGGTGTCACCCTCTCACTCTGGCTGGTTAGAGTGAAGGTTGAATTGGACCTGAGCTTGGAACCAGAGCCCAGTTTAGTCTTGACCTGCAAATGACACTTCACATGGATCAGGAGCAGCGGCAGAAGTAGCTGATCAGGAACACTAGTTACTGAGGAAAATATGAGAAGAGCAAGCTGAGAAATCAAAAAACTGTACTGGACTCTGGTCCTCCAGGATCAGAATTGATTATCCCTATTCTAAGTCATTTTACCTTGGAAACAGATCCCCTCACATCCATAAACATGCTCCCTGACTTGCACCCTAAGGAGCAGACCTTCTTCAATCCATAAAAGTTAAGCATATGAAGCTCTTCATAACTGTGTTATCAAAGGTTTTTAACTTTCCCTGTCTGCTAAGAATTTCAGTCATAAAAAGCTCATTGTCAGTGATCCCCCACCGGTCCCATCCTATGGATGTGCATATCTCATTCTCCATGATGTGCCATGGAGAACGCCATTAGTGCGGGCCCTCTTGATCATGTACATCTGAGGAATTGTGTGAAAAGAGTTCCTCAGTAGCTTTGGTGGCCATGCCATCAGCTTTCCTTTTCATTACCTCAGTCATTGTGTAGCATAAATCACCAACCTTTCCTTGAAAGTGTTTAATCAGGAATTAACGTCTAGTCTGAGGTGTTGAGTTAATGGTCTAGCTCTCTTCTACACATGTCATAGAAGCTTATTCTGTGGAAGTTCACTGTATCATAATAAGTGTTAATGTCTAGTAAAAAAACATCTGAAAGTGTGGAAAGAACATTGTTTTTATTTAATTTAAATGTGATTAAATGGCCAAAGTGTTTCTGCTCAGTAGGCTAGTGCATATGCTTAATGCACATCTCTAAAATGGTTTAGCAGTAGTCTAGTAGAGGAAGTTAATAAAGCAGTTGCATTTGTAGAGCTAAATCATCCATCAAGTACTAAATAAATGGAAGCAGAATTACTGGTTATGTCCCCCCTAACAGCTTTAATTCTATTTCAGTCTGATATACTTTTCATGATTACCACTGCTATAGTAACAGTAATGTCCTCTAGTGCCTCTGTAGCATACAATACACAGAGAGAAGGAGCAAGAGAGGAACTAGCATAAGGATAGGAGTGATAACAGGAGAACAGGGTCAGTGTGCAGTGCCCTCCACAAATATTGGCACCCCTGGTAAATCAAATGACCAAAACAGGCTGAAAAAAACATTCTATGCTGATTCTTTTGATCTTTAATTCAAAATATTAATAAAAATCAAACCCTTTTAAGTACAATGATTGAAAAGAAACCTAAATCTTATAAGAAATATATATATATTTTTTTCAAATCTCTGTGTGCTACAATTATTGGCACCCCTTCATTTAATACTTTGTGCAGCCTCCTTTTGCAAAGATAACAGCTCTGAGTCGTCTCCTATAATGCAGTTTAAGCTTCCTGGCTTAGGCAGTCAGGTTTTGATTGTATTTTTGCTGGTACTTAAATGAGTCAACGATACCATGTATCTGAATAAATTGTCCAGGGCCTTTGGAAGAAAA